TTTTACTCTTTTTTTTTAATTTAAATTATTATTTTTTACTATTTTCGTTGTTCATTCAAAATATCTATTTCTTATTTTTAGTAAAACTAATCAATCACTAATACCAAAATATATTTAAGTTTTACCTAAATTATATACATATCATTGCATATAATTATTTTGTACATAAAATTAAAAAACAAAAAATATTATCTCTTACATATTTTCACTTAATAAAATATTACTCCCTCCGTCCATTTACAAGAGTTACATTTAAAAGTAGTGTAATGACATTTTTGCCTTTACTTTTTTGTGTAAAAGTAATAATGTGATGTAAAATAAGAGTATTTGTGGAAAAAAGTAGGGTATTTAATAAAATGTAAACTTTGTAATTGGACGTCCCAAAATAAAAACATGTAAACTTTGTAAGCAGACAGAGTGAGTATTATTTATTAATCTACTATAAAATCCCAAAAAGGCTATTTAAAATGTAACAGATGGAGTATTATTTTTTATTATCTAAACAAAAGTATTTTTTTTAAAAAAAATAAGAATGAACCTACTTCCTCAGTCACTTAACAATCTATTTATTTTTTTTATTTTGGTTCATTCCATAACAAAGTACCAATTTTATTTTTTAATAATTGTACTATCTATCTAACATTACAAATATCATTTCAATTTACAATATATTACACAAATTTCTTTACCTTTATATCATACAATACTAATAAGGTTAATTTAGTCTTTTTACCTTTATTTCTACTTTATTCCACTATAATACTAATATTTCTAAAACTTTGTGCAAAAAACAAATGAATATATAAATATGAGACGGATGGAGTATTATATATTACAAATACCTTCGCATTTATACTTTTTTAATATTTTCATAATAATTTTACACTATAAATTTAAATAGTATTTATATATAAAACTACACTCAACCATCGTTAAATACAATTTTATTAAATTTCGTAGCAAAAGTAAATATATATTTGTAAACTACATGAATAGAGTATTACATATAAAGTACCTAGTTAAAAACAACAATAGCAACTAAAATTAAATGGACAGATCTTAGTAATTTTTTCTTTTTACTATTTAATATTTACAAAAATTTATATAAACATATAATTTATTTTACAAAAAAAAAATCACATTCAAATTAATAGTTAGATAAACAACTAAAATCAAAATATACACTCCATCCAAAAGAAATATATCTATTTATTTTACATAATAATAATAATATTCCCTCTGTCCCGGAACAAGGTTGTCGTTTACTTTTTGGACGTAATTTTTTTAATATTAGTATTATTATGGATTGTAGTGGAAAAGACAAAAATATAGTATTGTGTAATATAGTGTAAGTTAGAAGGGTATTTATTATGTTAAGCAGGTAGTACAATTACTAAATTAGGAAATGATAACCTTGATTTGGGACGAACGAAAATAAAAAATGACAACTTTTCAATGGGACGGAGGGAATAATAACAATTAAATGTATAAAAATGTGTTAGATGTAAAGAGAAAAATACATTTACCTATCTCTTATGCTTCTCTTTTAAAAATTTAATGATCAATATAATTGCAAATATGATGAATCGTAAAATTATTTACAATTGATAAGAAAAATAAAATAAAAATTAATAGATTTGTAGCAAATAACTAAATAAAGTAAAAATGAATACATTGCTCTTGCTCTTGGACAGTTGGAGTAAAAAAAGAAATAAAATAAAAAAATTTAAAAATAATGTAATATATATACACAGAATATATGATAACAGTAAAAATAAAAAATATATATATTTATTTTTTTTATAATATTTTTATAATTTTTTATACTTCACAATCAAAATATCTAAAATTATAAATACTAAACAAAACATACTCATTTGTTCTCGTAAAAAAATATATTTCCTCCGTCCTATAAAGAAGTATTTATTTGCTTTTTGTAGATGGTTTTAAAAATATTAGTATTATATTGGGATATAGTAGGAATAAAGTATAAACGACTAAATTGACCTTATTAGTATGTGTGATATAAAAGTAATGACATTTGTATAATATATTTTAAGTTGTAAGGGTATCTGTAATGTTAGGTAAATAGTACAGTTACTAAAAAAAAAATAGATACTTTGTTATGAGACGAACTAAAATGAAAAAATGGATATTTGTTATGGGACGGAGAGAGTATATTTATTTTTTGCACAAATATTTTTTAATAATAATATTATATATAATACAAATGAAGATAACATGACAGTTATACCCCTATTAGTAATATGTACTTCATATATTTTAATTGAAAATATAATTTTTATTATTTTTGTCTGTTCTACTTAAAAATATTTTTTTTTTATTAGAGTAAAAATAATAACATATTAATAATAAAATACTCTTAACTTTTACATATATTACAAACATATCTTTACATATATACATCAAATACAAATAATAAAAATGTCAAAATCATCTTATACATTTTCACTATAATATATTTTTTAATTTACTACAAAATTGAAATATATACTTTTATCCGGGATGAAGAGAATATTAGTTATGCAATATTTGTTAAATAAAAATAATAATATTTACATAGATAATATAAAAATAATAAATATATTTGATATATTAACTTTATAAAATACATATATAAAATTTTATTTTTATTTTTTAAAAAAGACCCTAAATACTCATATAATAAGCTATATATAAAAAATTTGATGTAAGAAGTATATAGGATCTATATATATCTGTATTAAAATTTAGCCTATTATATTATAAATTCTAAACAAAGTAAAATATGTAGTAATATATATATATATATATTTATGTGACTATATAATCTTAAATACTCTATCACAATAATATTTTATTTTGCCATTTTAGTCTATTTATATAAAAAAAAATATTTTTTTGAGAAAACGTAACTATAAATTAAATATCAAAATATTCATATTTTTTACCTTTTATATTATTTTTAGGATAAATTATGCAATATTTTATTTTGTTTTAGTAAAAATACATAAAACACCTTACATTTTATTTACTATGTAAAATTCTCTTATATTATATTAAAATTTACACATAAATCCTATTAATCTAAAACTAATATTATTGTAAATATAAATATAAATTATGCAAAATTTATATAAATAAAAAATAAAAGATCTCAAATAATATTTTTTTAATAAAATAAATAAATAAATAATTTGTCAAATCTATTTTTTTTTTATTTATAAATTTGTAAAGTTCAGATAATAACAGTTTATCTAAAAAACACTATAAAAGAAATTATTAATCAATTAATTATTTATTTATTTTATTTTAAAAAGACTACTTAATGTGTTTACCCATTTTATTTGTATAAAACTTATATAATTATATTCGTATTTCCACCAAAATATCAAGTTTTGGACGAAGATGATATTTTGTGCAGACTTTAATACTATAATACAAAGAGATTTCACGCAATAAATAAAATAGAAAGTAATTTTATATTACTCCCTCCGTCCCACATACCATGTCCACGTTGCCGTCTTTGTCCGTCCCACGTACCTTGTCACTTTTCTTTTTTTGGAAAATGATTATACACTTTAATCTCATTTTAAACTTTTTAATTTTTTTTTTAAATTTTAATTAAACTAATTAGTTATCTTAATCTTAATTTATAATTATTTATATTATAAAATAATTATTTTCACTAATACATTCTTAATTATCTACTAATTACACCCCTCCTAAAATATCGTGTCTACAGTGTAGCAGACACGGTATGTGGGACGGGGGGAGTATTATTAAAATACATAAGGTGGTATATATAATTTACAAAATAAATACTCCATCTGTCCACTTACAATATTTACATATTTCTATTTTGGAACGTCCAATTACAAAGTTAACATTTCATTAAATACCCTATTTTTTTCCACAAATACTTTTACTTTACATCACATCATTACTTTTACACAAAAAAGTAAAGGCAAAAATATCATTACACTACTTTTAACTACTCACTATAATTAAAATACTATTATTTCTTAATCACCGCACCAAAAGTAAATGTAAACTTTGTAAGTGGACGGAGGGAGTATTAAACTATTTTATTATACTACCTCCATCCCGAAAGAAGAGGAGTCCCGGAAGAAAAGTAACATTTACTTTTTGTATATATATTTTTTAATATTAGTATTATATTGATTTATAATAAAAAAGACAAAAAAATGCCCCTATTAGATTGTATGATGTAAAAGTAATGACATTTGTGTAATATATTAGAAATTGTAAAAATATTAATTATATCAGATAATTAATATAATTACTAAATAAGAAAATAATATCTTATTTTTTAACGGATAAAAATAAAAAAAATAAAATATTTTTATGGGAAAGAAGAAATATTATATATTTATAAAATACTTATTTCCTTTAATTTAATTTAGCATATGAAAATAAAATGAAAATTTTACATGTTTTTGCAAAAAAATTACATTAGAGACAAATGCTTTGGCTTTCATCAGCCATTGCCACTTCCGACCTAACCCCAACAAAAATAATCATTAGCCCCTCCTATACAAAATCCCCAAATTACCCCTCTCTAACAGTAAACCCTTCTTATCGCTAAGGTCAAAGGACACGGCTGCACTCCCGTTTCAGGCAAAAAAATCTAACACCGGCAATCCAATAAAGAAAGTTTCAACTTACAAAAAAATAATAATAAAATAAATAAATAAATAAAAACATAACTCATTATAAAAATCTGTATTTGTCGCTTCTATTTTCTTATTATTTAATTATTTAATATTTAATATTTATTTCTTATTAAAGCAGTGTAGTTTGTATTTATCATGCTTATTTGTATATTTTAAAATAAAATATTTTTTTTAAAAAATATTATTATTATTATTATTATTAAAATTAAATAATAATTATTAAAATTCCATAATTGTCTGTTCAGTACTGAAAATTTTAATATATATATATATATAGTTGTAATAATATGAGATCAATGATCTGTTCAGTTTGCTGTCCATACAAAATAATTTTTATTTTAATTTTATTTTTTCAATTCTCCAATTTTCCTCTCTCTTTCTTCTACCTCTCTGGTAGTCTTCTTCTTCCTCCAGCCAAGCACAGAGAGATAGAGAGAGAGAGAGAGAGAGAGAGAGAGAGATTCACCTCAAATTTCATTTGATACATATTTTTTTTGCTGTAGTAGTGTAAATTTGATTTGTGTGCTTGTTTGCATCAGGACAATCTGAGTTTTGATTTCGGTCCAGGTTTAGAATCTTCTCCCTGTCAGTATTTCCGGCGACTTCTGCAAGAGATCTGGAAATTTCCGATCAGAATCCACCGGCGGAAGTTACATATATTAATTCTGGTTCCGCTCTGTAATTTTCTTACCGTTTAATTTCGAGGAACGACGGAGGAGTTTCTGTAAGGCTATTACAAGCCAACTGCCGCCGCAGGAAGCCGGCGGTGTGTCTGTGTAAGAATTCAGACAGGAGAGGAATATTCCTCACCGGCGCCGCCGCACTCGTGGAGTTCCGAGGTTGTTGAGTTGGATCGTAACCGACGATTTCTCCGATTTAGGATCGAATTTGCAGTCAATGCTTCGATCTGCCTGAATTCTAAACCTCCTCGATAATTTCAACCGTCTGTCGACGGCGATTCAACGGCGGAGATTTCGAACATGATGCGTATGAGAACGATGACAAACAATCCCTCGCCGCCAGCCACCGGCGGCCGCGGCGGCGACAAAGAGTGGGAGCTCCGCCCCGGCGGAATGCTGGTCCAGAAACGAACCGACTCCGACCCAGCCCGCGCCCCGCCACCGACGATCCGGGTCCGGGTCAAACACGGGTCGATTTATCACGAGATCAGCATCAGTTCTCAAGCTACCTTCGGTAATTTTTTTATTAATTTTTTTTTTTTTTTAATTTTATTGCAACATCTTTGTCCGAATCTGGAGGAATATTCCGGCAGGGGAGCTGAAGAAGATGCTGTCGGCGCCGACGGGGCTGCACCACGAGGATCAGAAGATATTTTTTAAGGACAAGGAGAAAGATTCGAAGGCGTTTCTGGACACTTCTGGAGTTAAGGACAAATCCAAAGTCGTGCTTCAGGAGGATCCCATGAGCCAAGAAAAGCGTTATTTGGAAATGCGCAAAAACGCTAAAATGGAAAAGGCGGCAAAATCCATATCGGAAATAAGCTTGGAGGTGGACAGACTTGCCGGCCGGGTAGCCATTGCTTATTACATTATTCTCTTAATTCTTACAAATTATTCGATTCGATTCATCGACTAACAGCTCATTGTCTGAATCATCGATCATTGATCCATCGGTCGATGATCAATGATCGATCCTTTTAAGGTATCCGCCATCGAAACTGTGATTACCAAAGGAGGAAAAGTCGCCGAGAAGGACGTCGTAAATCTCATCGAATTGCTGATGAATCAGCTCCTCAAACTCGACGGCATTGTCGCCGACGGCGATGTCAAACTCCAAAGAAAAATGCAGGTCCGATGATCACATTTACTTTTTGCTATTTAACTTATATTTATATAATTTTTTTTTTACAAATGTCATTTTATATTAGTATTATAAGACACTGATAGAAATATCTTTGTAATTTTTTTTAAATTTATACTACATTTTAATATAATAATTAATATTCAAAGATTAACTAACAAAATATAAATAAAACCTTTAGAGTCGGACAAAAATAGTATTATTTTTCAAAATTTTCAAAACTTAAATAGCTAATCCATCGTCCATTCAATTTTGTGTTTATATACATTACTGTCTCATTTAAAAATTTAAACTTGTGAATTACTGTTATCAGGTCCGGAGAGTCCAAAAGTACGTCGAGGCTCTCGATGTGTTAAAAGTCAAGAATTCGAGTGTCGTTCCAACGCCGGCGCCGTCTCCGGGAGAGTCGTCTCAACGCCCGAAAAATTCAAACGGTGCGGCGATCGCAATTCCTCCGCTAATCGAGCCGAGTAGGCATTCGAATGGGAGCATTTCGTCGAAGCAACGACAACCCTCCGGCGCCGCTCCGGCCCCCGTCATAATCACCACCCAATGGGAGACGTTCGACGCGGCTCCGGCGGCAGCGGCGGCGGCGGCGTCCACGTCAGCAAAGAATGGTGGTCCTAGTTTTACATGGGATTTGCTTTGAGTTTAGATAGTGGGGACAAAGTGAAAAGATTAAAAAAAAGAAAAGATTAAAAAAAAAGTCAAATTAAAAATTACTACAAATTATTATTATTTTATATATTGGTTATTTGATATATAAGTGCTTAGTGTGAATTAATTAATTAATTAATGGTTTGGTTTTGTATTTTTATTTTTATTTTTTAATATATATATTTTTTTTATTTGGGTTCTGAATTTCCTAATTTGGGTGTTGGATTCTTGTCTCTCTCGATATTCTTTATTTTTATTTTTATTTTTATTTTTATTTTTTGGGAAAGATTCCATTTTCAGATGTATGAGAATAAACGGGATCTAGCCGTTGTAATGTCTGAAATCTCATTGGTGTTTGTCATAACAGTCCCTTATTATTGAACTAATTAAAATAATTACCCTGTTGTAATTTTTTTCATTGAGTTGTGGGATATGATTCTAATATGTATATGCTTTTGGGGGTTTTTAGTAAAAGTGAGAATAATAATAATAATAATAATAATTATTGTTAGTTCTTCTTTATCCTTTGCTTCTTGTTTAGGGCACATAAAGACAAACTACAACGTGGCCAGGGTGGGATTAATATTCGGACATAATTAATATCTAATTTCATATTATAAAATTTGCATTATGGTTGTAGTTACAATGGAGATTAGGAATAATTAATTAATTTATACCTTGTTGATTAAATATAATTAATATATAAAACATAGGCCAATAAAACGTGAAATGTATAGCAACAATACAAGATTTTGTGTTAACATAACATAAATTATACCGATTCAATTTGTATGTTAATTGGATCAAATCAGTACGGTATTGATTTGATCTACTTAGTACATATATACACGACATATAATACGTAAACGATAGCACATAATAGCACAATACCCAAATATATCCATATTCCGATGATACATGATAATATAATATACATTATAATATACTCCCTCTGTTCCAAAACTATAATTTGGATTGTATTTTATACGAGATTTAATGAATATTGATATTATATTGGTAGTGGATAAAAAGTACTGATATTTTTTTTTTTGCCTTTGTGAGTGTATTAATGTAAAAAGTAGTGACAATTGTGTAATAATAAAAAAGTAAGGGTGGTTTTATAGTGATATAGTTATTTATGAAAATAAGACTATTGTTTTGGGACAAACAAAAATAGTAAACAAGACTATTGTATTGGGACGGATGAAGTATTATTAATATTCAACACAAAAAACACATATCCATACAACACATACTTCTATATAGCACAATATTATACTGCGTCGTGATTGATTACCATGTAAAATGTCCGCTAACATATGGTGACAATTCACGTAATATATATATATATTAATTAATTCATGTATTATTGTGCTAATTTGTTTTAATATACATACAAATTATCTTCTTTACAATATATATATATATACACATATATAAATTAAATTACCTCATGTAAGCATATTCCTATTTATCAATCTATTTTTGAATTACCTCAAAATTTTGTATTGTATTGAATAGGGTGTATTTCTCCAATTTTAAATATAATATATTAAAAAGACAAAAGCTATAAATTTGTTATTTCTTTAATGTAAAAAATAAAATTTTAGCATCTCGTAGCCCCTAAATTTATTTATTTATCTTTTAAAATATAATTACGCTAAATTGCTCTATTTTATCGGCATTCAGCTCCCTTCAAATTTGAAAGCTGATTTCGCCACTGGTTGTAACTTAATACAAATTCTAAGTGGACGACATTAATGGAGTACTTAATTAGATATGTTTCAAAACATCGGCACAACTTTGCCGCGAACTCTTACAAAGTATTTGAAGTAAGAAGAAGATTCTTGAATTAAAAAGGGTTAGAATTTCTTCACTCAAAGTTGAAGCCCATAAGAAGTATTCTTGATGAATGTGATGTGATTTGTTCTTTAAGAATGTTGGAATGGAAGGTAGATTCTTGGATTGAGGGCAAAGGAATTACCAAAATTAGAAAATATTTATAAATTTGGATATATAGGTGTCAAAAATAGAATGGACATTGCTACTTACTCATTTTATGTTAAGTTAGGACAACCTATGATCACTCCTATCTTTTAGCCTTTTCATCATTGCTAGTAGGTATGATTAGCGGTGAACAAAAAAATTGAACCGAACTGTCGAACAACTGAATCAAACGGAACGAAATCGAATTTTCGATTAACCGAGCAAATTTGATTCGAATACAAATACTGCATATTTGATATTTTTTCGGTTCGGTTATATTTTGATTTTTTTATATTTTTTTTTCGGTTCGGTTAACCGAACCGAATATATTTATATTATTATATTTTAAAATTTGTATTAATAATTACATTCGGTTCGGTTTCGGTTCCAATATTTGAAATATTTGCAAATATTTTTATTTAATTTTAATTTTAATTATTTTTTAGTATATATTTTTTAAAATTTCGGTTTGATTCGAATTATTTGCAAATATTGCAAATATTTTCAGTTCGGATACGATTTGCGATTTTGGGTATTTGTTCGATTCAATTCGGATATCAAATATCTGCATACTTACAAATACCCGAACTGTGCCCTATAGGTATGATTGTGATTTATAATACATCTAAAATTATTGAGCAAAAATACTTATACATTGTGATTTGAAATGTATGTACTATTTATCCCCCATTATTTAAAAATTATATGAATTTATTTTATATTTTTTAATTATGGTATAAACTCTTATTTTTAGAGGGTTATGTGAAATATTTTTGAAAATATGAAAAAAGTTATGCAGTTTTAGGAGATTTTATATAATATTTTATAAAATATGATGGTGTTTTATACAATTTTTAAACTATAAGAGAATATGGTGCAAACTTTTCAAATCAAAAGTAAGTTATAAGTAATTTTGTCAAAAAAATAATTCTTTCATCCCGATTTTTTATGCAACTACATTTTGATACAAAGATTAAAAAATAATAGTATTTTAATACTCCCTCCGTCCGCTTACAAAGTTTACATGTTTCTATTTTGGGGCGTCCAATTACAAAGTTTACATTTCATTAAATACCTTATTTTTTTCCACAAATACCCTTACTTTACATCACATCATTACTTTTACACAAAAAAGTAAGAGCAAAAATGTCATTACACTACTTTTTACTACTCACTATAATTAAAATACTATTATTTTTTAAACACCGCGCCAAAAGTAAATATAATCCTTGTAAATGAACGGAGGAAGTATAAAAATTAGATAGATAAAAAAGCAAAATAGAATATTATATAAAATTTATTAAAAATTTGATAAGAAAAAATAATGCGATAAATAAAAAATAGTGACAAATTAATTATTATTTATTAAAATATAAATAATGAAATTGCAATTAGATAAATATGTTTACTATAGATAAATTATTCATAAATTAGTAGATATTAAGAAAATAATAATAAAAAAAAAAACTGGTATAATTATCCGGAGAGAGAGAAGGTATGTTCTCTTTAGTTTTTTATACATATTTTTCTTAAAAATTTAATATATTATATACATTTATTATTTTTATATTATCTATATAATTTTTTATACTTTAAAAAGAATATTCTTTCAAATTATTTTTAAAAAAAATACACCCAAAAGTATTAGATAAATTGTATATTATATATTTTTGTTTTATTATAAATATTAAAATAAACTGTACTTCTGTTTATTTATTTTGTGAAATCTCATTTATCTTATAGTAAAATGTGCATAAAATATATTAGTAGAAAATATTCAATTAATAAATAATAATATATTGGTAATAAGTATGCAATACATATGGTGGAATTTAGAGCCTTTTATGGCTAAGTAATACAAAAGTAAATTCACTTTAAACATCACAATTTTCAATGACATTTTCACAATTTAGAATAATCAATAACAAATACACTGACTCCGTCCACTTGGAAGGGTGGCGTTTGTTTTTTACACGTAAATTTTTTAATATTAGTATTACATTAGATGGTAGAAAAAGACAAAAATACCCCTATTAGTATGGGATAATATAAAAGTAATAACATTTGTGTAATATATTGTAAGTTAAAAGAGTATTTATTATGTGAAGTAGGTAGTACAATTATTAAATTAGGAATGGTAACCTTGTTTTGGAACGGACGAAAATGGAAAATGATAATCTTTCAATGGAACGGAGGGAGTATTAGGGATATAATTTATAGACCAATGTATTAGTAAAAAATTAAAAAACAATACTCCCCCGTCCCAGAACTATAGTCTGGGTTGGGTTTGGCACGGGATTTAAGGAATATTGATATTATATTGGTAGTGAGTAAAAAGTACGGGTAAAAGACTTTTTTGCCTTTGTGAGTATATTAGTGTAAAAAATAGTGGCAATTGTGTAATAATAATAAAAAAGTAATAGTAGTTTTATAGTGATATGATTATTTATGGAAATGAGACTATTATTTTGAGACGAACAAAATGGTAAACAGAACTATTGTATTGGAACGGAGGGAGTATTATTTTATTGATTAATATAAGTGTATAAGATAATTTGATATTTTGCCTTACAAATATTAAGGAAATAATTATTTTTGTAAAAATTTAAATTATTTTAATATTTATATATATATTAATTTTAATATAATATAAAATTAATATTTTTGAACGAGGCAAATAAAAATAATAAATAAAATACATTAAATTAAGACGAAAAAAATACTTACATAAGATCAAAGTACAATAGATTATTAAATAGATAGTTGATAAATTATATTTTTATTAAAAAAAAATACTATTTAAGATATTTGATCTATTTTATTTATATAAAACTTGCATAATTAAGTGCGTGGTTACAACTAAACAACTTTGGATGAAAAAGATGTTTTCTGTGTCCTTCAATTTAAACAAAGAATTTTACGCAATATATAAAATATGAAGGGTTTCTTTCTTTAGTAAAAAATTTTCAACACATTCTCTTTAAAAAAATTAATAAATTACGTGCACTTATTATTTTTATATTATCTACACAATTTTTTAACCTCACAATAATTTTTTCTTTTTCTTTATTCAAACCAAAATGCAAAATGAATAAACCCAAAATATTTTGTGCATTTTTTACTAAAATACAATGATTGATTTATAATATACCCTATAATATTATGTGAAAAAAAATTGTATCTTTATTGAAAATTTACATTAATT